TGAATAAATATTGAAACAACCAAAATTAGGGAAATTATTTACAGCATTGACATGATGTAAAAAGAGAGAAGTGGTTTTATATTTTAGAGATACAATTCCTATGGAACATATTTAATACAGATGATGATGGAAGGATTTCTTTTTGAAAAAGTTTTTTATTTTTTAAGACAAACATATACAAACAATACATAAAAACATAAAACCACCTTCCATTTTCTATACATACGGTGTGTCAGTTGGTTATGAAACTTTTGTGCTCTCCTTTCATAGTTGTTACTCACAGTTTATATAAATTTCACGTTGTCAAACTAACAGATGCTTATATATTTATCAGTTATTAATCATCCATGACTAAACTATTTATTCCATCATTTTATATGAGATATCCCAAATCTTATTTTAAAATTTATATTGTACTTTCAACCAATGGTTACATATATATACATTATATTTTATATCAATCTATTAAACTTCTATAACAAGATTATCTATTCTGTTGCATTACCATATCCTTTTGTCCAACCATTGATAAAACAAATCCCATATCATATAATATTGTTTATCTTCTTGTCTCTAATTTCAAATGTCAATTTACTCATTTCAGCACAGTCCATAATTTTTTAATAACTTCAATGATGGAAGGATTTTGATGGTGGAGATAATGGACAATAACATAAAAACACTTTTAATAGCAATTTATGCTTCAAATGAGGATCAAGAAGAATTTTATAGGAAATTACATATGAAAATAATTGAACTGGACTATGTTAATATTTTGTATGATGGGAGATTTTAATGGGATAATTAATGATAAATTGGATTATAAAACACAAGAAAAAAACAAAGAAAATTAGAAAGACATTGCCAAAATCCTTCTTCTGAATGATAAAGGAAATAAATTTAAAAGATGCATGGAGAGAGAGAAATGCGGAAAATAAACAATACACTTTTCACTCAAATAGACATACGTCATGGTCCAGAATAGATATGAAATGGATGTCAACAGAACTGATCTCTAATATACAAGAAATTGAAATAGAAACAAGTACTTGGGAAGATCATAATCCAATGACAGTTACATGGAAAGGACAAAAGAGATCTAGATGGACTTTAAATAATACGATATTAAAGGAAAAAGACTTCAAACAGAAAATACAGGTACCATTGGGTTTTATTTTGGACTAAACCTAAATCACTGGAGTCTATTTAATCAGACCAATTTATTCCTTTCTCAGTATATTTTCCCACAGTATACTAACCCCTTTATCCCATTGACTCATTTGAGAATAAGGCCAAAATCTATCTATCTTTTGGTAAGATACAAACTTATAAATCATAGTCTTCAAACTATTTGCTGGGGGAAAAGCCCAACATGGAAAGAGCAACTCCAGCTTCACAAATTTCCCACATGAAATTATAATGCTTTCAAACTGTTGACTTACAACTATACTTAATAATATGAACAACTATCATTCTTTTTTATTGAACAGTAAAAGGCAAGTGTGATCTGAAATCTTTGACATAAATGGTGAGAAGGTCGACTATTCTTTTTTGTTGTTTATTTGTTTAATTTAACCTATAGGACAGATGTTGTCCAGAGGTGTGCCCAAGTAAAACAAGATGGTAGCCATGATGGGATGATAGAAGCTCTGCCTTTATATTAAGGAAAGAGCTTTATTAAAGTTTGAGCTTTATGCCTTTCATCTTTACTTATTTTTGCCACATCCTGTGTGTGGATACCTTTCATCGAGGTGCAGAGTTGTTTGTTGCTGAAAGAATTTATTCGTATTATTTATTTCAGTGTTTCAGTATGAATATAGTGATATTTTATACTTTTGATGCTAAATCCTGGAACAATTCGTAACAAGAAAAAAATCTTTCTCATATGATATCCACTGGCCTTCCTGCATACAAATCTCTATGTTATGATTTCAAGGAGAAGGTCGTGGATTTAGACTGAAAAAGGAAAAGAGGGAAAAAGGAAAAGAGGGGAAAAAGTAGATCCAGGAAATTACAGACCAAATCAACCTGACACTTGGGAAAATCTTGGAAAACAAAATCAAACAACAGATCTATGAACATTGGAAGCAAGCAAAGTTATGACCAGAAGCCGACATGGGTTTGTCGGTAACAGATCATGACAAAGTGACTAAATTAACAGACTAGCTAAATGCTTCGTAGACATAGTATACTTGGATTTCATTTGACAAAATAAATCATAGTCTACTTCTTGAGAAGTTAGAAAAATGTGGGATAAACAGCATTACCACCGACTGAGTGCTGACAATCTTCACTCAACATGTAGACCCTAATGGAACTACATCTACATGGAGGGAAATAAGCAGTGGGGTACCCCAAGGCTCCATTTTAGCCCAGTACCCTTCAATATCTTCATAAATGATTTGGTTGAAGGGATAAAAGAGGAACTCATCAAAGACGAGGTGACACAAAGCTGGCAAGAATAGCCAACACCCCAGAAGATAGTCTCAAGATTCAGAAGGATTTTGACAGATTTGAACACTGGGCCCCATCTAAACAAAACGAAAATCAATATAGATAAAAGTAACGTTTTACATTTAGGCAAGAAAAGCCAAATGCACAGGTTTAAAATAGGTGGATTTTGGATCCATAGCGGTAATTGTGAGAGTTCTGTGTTCTGTGTTCGAGGTGGCTTCACAGGGCAATTGCAAAGGGTTGCATTTCCTGTGCCTTTGTCCAAACACAGACGCACTGAAAGTCTGGTTTATTTCTCTTGTGGCTTTCTATCTAAGATGAAGCTTGAAGTTGTTGCAAGTGGATTGTTGGCAGATTATGTTGATTCAATTAATGTGTATCCTTGTATAACATTTGGCACAGAGATGAATAATCACTTTAATGCTATTTGATAGAATGAAAACAAATGAAAACAATCCAACAAATAGCATCATCCACAAAACCAGGCACACAGCCAACGAGGCTTTGGCAAACTTACAAATTGCTCTGCCCATTGAGGCCAAGTAAAACTGAATGTGCACTGCACAATTACAGAAGAGACTTTGGAAAAGACAAGCAGAGGCCAGAGCGTGGGTTGGGGGTGGTATTCCACGGCAGCGCAGTACAAGTTAAGAGTAGGCAACAATATTCCAGGAAGAGGGACCTTTGTCTTTATTTCCAGCAGGCAAATTATTTCAGATCAGAATGGAATAGAGCGGATGACAATGGAGCCATCTTGTCCAATATCCTATTTTGTTTAGTTGCTACAGAAACAAAATTCTTAATTCTTCTACTCTTGAACCACTCCACAGCTTGAAGATTTCTCTCAATTTTTAGAGCAACAGCAACTCATTTAGCAGTTACCTTATTTAGTGACTATTCACAGTTACTATAAGATGAAGAAGTATCTTTATGACCAATATCATATTTACAACCTTTGTAGGTCCGTAAAGCAAAGAAAAGCTGAAGTAAGATCATCAGCATAACTGTAGTTTCACTTAGTAACCACTGCAGTTAATGATCAGGTTGCCAATCCCAGTTTTAGTAGCTGAATAAGGACTACCTGTACAATAAAACTAAGAAGGGAATAACTAGTCTTTGGTTGCTGACAGTTGCATTTCATTCATTTTCCACATAAATTAGGTCTCACTGAATTGGATTCATGGAACAACTTTATAAAACACAACATTAAGTGTATAGTAAGACCAATTTCAATGCTGCAGATACCTTGCTTATAGATCAAACGTTTTTGGTTTCTGATCTTTCTAACTTTCATGTTTGTCAGTCTCCTAAGTCTTCACCAGGGGATCTTTGCACCATTATCACCTTGCATAATTCACACAAAAGCCATCACACCAGCTCTGTGCTTTTAACATCCGTAAGTGATAGCCATGAAACCCAAAAGATTTTCACATGAGATCTCAGAAGACCCCAGAGATGAAGTTCTAATCCTACATAGTTTTAAGTATTTACAGCAATAAAAATTAAACAAAAATATCTAAGGGTATGGGAACCAATTAAAAGGCATTAAACTGGAAACTATAAGATGTATGACAGGGGAAAATAGGTCCCTAACTCAGCCTAGGAATTAATAACTTTGGGTTCACAATTCTAAATTACACCAATGTATTACATCCTGAGATTTACTTTCAAAATTACATTGTTGAGAAATACTCAGGTTTAACATCATTTGGTGAAGTATTAAATATTTACAGCCCTGAATATATTTATTTCCTTTTATATTGCTCTTTACATATCGTTTCCATATGGGATCTATAGAATATTACAACTAACAGCAATGACTGCCATCAGCTACTTTTTTTCTACAAATTGTGGATGGGTGTAACAGTTTCAAGAATGGATGTTTAATGTAGTTTAGAAATAATTTATGTGAAAAGTACTTTTTAAAAAACCTTTAGACTACTATAAAAGTGTTGCCCAAGTTGATAGCTAAAATTGTATTTTAGGCAAATTTCATACAAGTGTATATAATTAGTTTTTAAAAATATTTCATACAGTTATATTACCCTACACATGCTGTATATTGCTTGAGAATTATTTTCTTTGCTATGTAGAAATTGTGGGAAAGATGTGTCAGTGAAATCTTATTTAGTAAGAAAAAATAAATTATTTGGAGATTAATTTACTCCATTCAATCATACTTTCTTTTAACAAACAAAAACAAACATCTTGAATATATTGTAATGTCAACATTTAAGATATAGATGAAAAACTGTACTTTTGACAAGTGATTGTGGGTGGCCACAGAGCAGTAAAAAAAAAATTAAAAAACCCAAGATGCCAGCCATGAGAGTTTGATTAAGCTCTGTTCTTGTTATGCCTATTGCAACATGTGGTACATTTATAAAACAATTGGAGCGTTGATTATACTCTCATAGTTTCCATATTAACGTTTTACCATGTCTAGTGGGAGGCTCCTGAAATATTATGCTGTATATTAATCTTAACACTTAATTTAAATAAGATGGGTTTTACTTTTCTCACATTAGCATTCTTCTTTTTTCCAGTGCCAGAGATGTTTGTGCTGCTCTGTATAACAGGTTTTGCCTTCTATATCAATGGCCAACCTCTCCAAAGTCAGTTTAAAGGAGAAAACTACTCCACAAAATACGTCTGTAGTATACCTGGGTTACCTGGGCCCCCAGGCCCTCCTGGAAACCATGGCTCACCTGGACCACATGGCCGGATTGGGATCCCAGGCCGAGATGGCCGAGAAGGCAAAAAGGGAGAAAAGGGTGAGAAAGGAAACGCAGGTACTGAATATTCAAACCTTTTTAAAAAATTATCAAAACAGACTTTATTGCAAATAAGACCTTCAGTTTTTCTAAACCTTGCTGAGCAGTATCTACAGTTAGTGCAGCCAAGTGGCTACAAAATAATAATCATGACAGTCCTGTTGATATGCCTCCTTTTAGAAGTATTACTACTCAGGATCTCCAGAGAAGAGTAGACTTGTAATCCACCACACTTGAAAGCTATCAAACTCATTTTAAATCTTGACAAGCTCTTTGTTCCTAAAGTGAATTCCCCTTTTACAATATGGGTATAATACTGACCTTGACAGAGTAACTGGTGGTAAAGGTAATGGATACGAGGATTTGTATGTTTCTAACGATGACATTCCTATTTATATTTTCAGCCAGCCAGAAAATTGATTCTTTTTATTTATTAACATTATATGCCACCCATATCCTCGATGACACTGGGGGGCTTAATTTTTTTAAAACTGTGTAAACAAACAGGAACCAAGATACCAACAGTACAGGTATGAGGTTTTCTTATCTCATCAACCATCTACAGTTGTAAGTGCCCCAGGGCTCCAAACCAACCAGCAAAACCAAATTTTAATGCTCTTCTGGAAGGCCAAAATGACGGGGCAGTTCTCACCCACAGTGGCAGAGTATTCCACAAGGTCAGGGTATAGCAGAAAAGACTCTCCTCCTTGGTCCCACATGCCAGAATTCCTTGGCAGATGGGATCTACAGCACACCTCTTCCACTGGTGTGAGCGGAGGGGGCTAATACCAGGGATGGGACTCTACCTCTTCGGACCAGTTCTATAGAAACGGTTGTTATGTTTCTGCGCAGTTTGGAGAACTGGCAAATTGCTCCACTGGCTGGCCCCGCCCGCTCCACCTATCCCTCCCCTCCCCGCCCAGTCATTCCTTACCTCGCATGTGTGCCATCCAACTTGCCTACGTTGTGCCTTTGCCTAAATTTTGGTAAGTTGCTATTTTTCCTCCTCCCCCCGCGACAATCATCTCTTCTGACTATCAGCTGTACTATGTGATTTAGATTAACTAGAAAGCAGGAAACCATAGGATTTCTTGCTTTCTAGCTAATCAAAATCACTGTTATACTGTTTCACCTTTGCTCAGGAGGCTTCCCCGAGGCCCAGTCAGGGGTGGTATTTAGGGAGCTGACAGTGGAAGTGGCCTGGGAGCAGAGCTGAACCTTCCTTAGGACTGAAGCTTCTATTTTTCAGTGCAGATTCAGGCAGCAGATTGCAGAAAGGTAGATCTGTGAGTGAATCTGTGATTCTGCAAGCAATTCAGTCTGCCTGCCTGCCTGCTTTGCCTAATTTTGGGTAAAAGTTGCTCTTTAAAAAAAATCAATATTTGCATATATATGGTGTGTTTTGAATTAATTTTGTGAGTTTGCTTGCTAGCAAATTTTATGTGACGGACTCAAGCAGCAGATTGCAGAAAGGTAGATCTATGAGTGAATCTGAGATTCTGCAAGCAATTCAATCTGCCTGCCTGCTTTGCCTGATTTTGGGTAATAGTTGCTCTTTTTTAATAAAAAATTCAATATTTACATAAATATTAACAATATTTACATGCAAGCAACACCCACCCAGTCACCTGACCACCAAGCCACACCCACAAATTAGTCCATGCTCACAGAACTGGTGGTTAAGAAATTTGAATCCCACTCCTGGCTAATACCAATGGGGCAAAACAGCTCCTCAGATACCCTGGACTCATACCATATAGATTTAAAACAGACATGTCAAACTAAATGTCTGTGGGCCAGATCCAGCCTGCAATATGATTAGCTCTGGCTTGCAGGGATGCCCTGGAGATAGTGAGGGGCAGGATCCATCAACCCCAGCCTACCGCACCCTGGCCAGGCACTTCCCCTGGGTACACGCACAGGAGGCATCAAGCACATGAGAACTGGTATTCTTGGTGAAAGGAAAGCACTCAGAACATGGTTAGTTTGGACCTCTGTTTTACTCATCATCGGAGTCGGGGCGGAATCTGCAATCGTATGCGATTTCACCCCAAGCTAAGTTGCTGGAGGGTCCCGATCAAGACCAGAACCACCCTGGAGGGGTGGTGGAAAAAGGGGGAACTGCCTGGAGGGTTGAGGGGAGCCTTCCAAAGGCAAGCTGTAGCAGTGGTCTAAAATGGCCACCACGAAGACGAAGACCAGTCCAGAAAACTAAGACTGTGCTGGAGAGGAGAAGAAGCAAGTGGAGTGTGAACTAGGCAAAATGCATGGACATTAAGGTAGCCCAGTATTAAAAAAATAAAGGACTATTTTGGAGGAAAGTGTGTGGAAGAAAAGTGAGAAGGAAATTGGATCTTATAAAATTGGCTTGAATTATTGTAATAGATTAATTTGGAGAAGAAAATCTAAAGGAAAATAATTGAACACAAAAAAGGCTTGGAAATTAAACTGGATAACTATTGGATTTTTGGAACTTAAAAGGTATAATTAAATGCTGGAATTGAGTGTGTTTAAAAGAAAAGAAATCATAGCTAATAATTGAAATTAGCTAACTTAATAAAAGTATTATATTTAAAAAAGAAAGCAAAAATAAAAGAAAGAATGGATTTTGGAAAAGAATCAGGAGCACCACCTGATGGTATAGGAAAAATTTCAGGGACTTTTTGGAAAGTGTTTGGTCTTTCCAAGAAATTGGACTTTGGAATTTAAAAGAAAATAAAAGAAACTCCATTATAATAAAATAAAAACCTGGGAAAGTGACATTAGAATATTATAAGGGAGAAGATATTTGAAAACATCGTTATAACCACCCAGTGACCATGGGAAATAGCTGGGAAAGGACCAACTAGAAGACCTGGAAACAAAGATTTAAGAACATTGATTGTTGAAAATAAACTTAAAAGACACTAGCTGAAATAATACACCGGACTTTTGGATTGAATACATTTCTTAAGGAAGAGGAAAGGAAAGAAAAAAGGAGCAGACATAATTGAGGAATTATTTGCTGAAATAATTTGCTGAAATATTAAGACAGAGCATTTATTTGTTGAGATTTGAAGTTGCCATTTGTTTGACCATTCTGATACATAGTCAAGGTCTTTTTGAACGGTAGCAGTATTTTCTGTGGTGTTGAATAGCTTTACATCATCAGCGAAGAGAACGCAGTCGCTCTTAATGTGATCACAGAGGTCATTTATGTAGAGTATAAAGAGAATAGGTCCGAGAACACAACCTTGGGGGACACCACTGTTGACAGGTACAGAATTTGATAGGATGCTCCCAATTTTGACCATTTGTTGTCTGTTTGACAGGAATGCTTCTATCCAGTTATGCAGTTGTCCAGAGATCCCATAGGATTTTATTTTTAGTAGTAGTTTGTCATGTACCACTGAATCAAAGGCTTTACAGAAGTCTATGTAGATTGCATCTATTGTTTTGCCCTGATCAAGTTGTGTAGTCCATATGTTTTTTGCAGTGTAAGAGTTGCAGATTGCAGATAGCTTTTTCTGAAACCAAATTGTTTATTAGAGAGTGGGTTGTTTGTCTCTAAGTGGAGGATGATGGATTGGTTAATAATTGATTCCATGACTTTACAGGTGACGCAGCATAAGGAGATTGGTCTGTAATTTTCAACTAGGCTGGGATCTCCCTTTTTGAAGATGGGGATGACCGTGGCTTGTGACCATAGTTTTGGCAAGGGGCTGGTCCTGAAAGATTTTTCAAAGATTATGCTTAGAGGTTCGGCTATGGCAGTGGATAGCTTTTTTAAGAAATAGGCACATATTCCATCTGGACCAATAGATAGAGATGGTTTTAGATTGCGTAGAGCTTTTTCAACATTGTCTTCTGTAAAATCGATATATATTAGATCATTGTAGTTGGTGGGGATTTCTTTCTCTTTACGTTGTGGTTTGGCACTGGATTTTTTTACTGGCATGGTAGGTTGGTTGAGATAATACGTTGATTAAATTGCTTAATGAAACAGTTTTGGGTAATCAATATAGCCAATATCACACCAATTAATCAGTCACAATAATCTCTCTAGTCAAATAATTATGCTAAGCAACAATCAGCCTAATCAATTAATTACACTAATTGCTTATCACACTGTTCAATTAAATTCAGTAAATCACTAATTTTACTAATCAATTAAATTACATGTATCCTGATTTTTACACTAATCACACTATTTGCACTAAACACTCTAATCACATGAATCAATTAAAACAATAAATCGATTAAACCATTGATAAATTATTTTATAGAAATTGATTATATAATCATTGACCTATGTAATGAAGTAGAACAGTTATAAGTTTTGAGGTAATGAAGTAATCAGTGATGGATTATTGAAGTAATGAGGTAGTATTGAGAGTCGGCAATTAAAGAAAGTCGGCAATTGCTGCTGATATCTGATCCAAATTAATAGTTGACCACCAGATGGTGCTGCAGGCTAGCAGTTGGTTGGCAAGCAGATGGGCTGTGAAAAAAAAAACTGGGTTGCAGACACTTATGCTGAGAGGAAAATTCATCAAATAAGGTTATACTTTAGTCCAATGATTTCCCTTTGCTTAGCAGTGTAGGTTGTACCATTTGATTTTCAGTAAAGAAAGAGAAAGAAGAAAAATCTTCTAGGCTCTTTCACCAAAGAGAAAACGACAACTGCATTTCTGTATTTAAATTGCCCGCCTGGATAAGACTTCTGTTTTCGGGGGTGGGGAGTGCCCCGTTGCTATGGAGACAGCCCTTCACTAATGATTTGCAACCATGTTGTAAACTGGCTAGAGGCCTTTTTTATTTCTCTTGAAGGTACAAGCAATAAGGAATTGAAGGCAAGTCCAGGGCTAGAGAAAACACAGCTTTTTTTGTTTTGGGGCACAAGAAAGGATTACTCAGTCTCTTCCAACTGTATTTGTAAAGGGTTTGAAGACTGGAGAGCTGCAGGGAGAGATAGAGAAGAGGTTGTTTGTTTATCCCTTGAGAGATGTGTAATTTCTGGCCCCTCACAGCAATTCAAA